GCAGGTGGCCAAGTCAAACTGCCAGCCTGGGGCAGTGCCAGGGAGAATCGCACGGAACGCTGGCTCCTGCCTCCCGGCCACCTGCAGTGGCCAAAGCCTCCTGAGATCATCTCCCTCTCACCTGACAAAAAGAAACGCACCAAACCTTCTCTGGAAAACAGCACAGGGCTGAGGAAACACCTCGCCCTGTCCCTGGAGAGCCCAGCTGAGGGATCTTCTCCTGCCTCCTTGGACTTCAACCAGGCCAGCAGAAAGCCGGTGGATCGGCGGCTGGCAGAGGCTGCCAACAGCGTGTCTGCTCACCTGCTCCACCCAGCAGCTTCCTACCTCAAGGTGACATCCTTGGTGGAGGATCATCCTTTTCCAGCCTCTGGAGCAGTGGAATCTGAAGATCCTAACACACTGGATCACTTCAACCGACCTGGGAAGATAATCCCTGCTAAAGGTACTTATCACTTCCAAAAGATCACCAAGCCCTCCTGGGTCACCAACCGCCAGCCATCCAGCCTGCTCCACCACCTCAGCACGCTGAAGAAAGGTAAGGGGATAGACTGCTCTGGCCAGGAATATTCCAAAGGCTGGGTGCCCTAATTTGGATGAAATATCCAAAAGGGCCTGTTGCTGTCCCTCAGTCTGTGTCCATGTCCTAGATGGTGATGAGGAGAAGGCATGTCTGGCTGAGTGCAGGAAAGAGAGGGATGAAGCAGAGGCCTTTTGCGCCAGTGAGTTCGGTGAGTTGTGTCCTCCATGAACCACACACACACAAGCAGGCACCTCCTTTCTTCATCTCTACTGACATTCACTTCTGCTTTTAAGAGACTGTTCCACAGAGCATGTTGGATAATTACTCAGTACACTAAAAGGACTCATCGCAGCTCTTTATAACTGCACTACCACAAACAGTACCAAGTCTTACAGACTTGTATGACCCTTATCCTCCCTTGGGCTAATACTGCTCTTTTCCCTTTGCTCTACTTTTCACTCCTGGGAGGAAGACAATGTTCTTGCTGCTGGTCTATAGAACTGAAAAGACCAGTTGTTTAGGTACTTTAAGAGTAAACATTTTAGCCATGTTACTTACCTCCTACTATTTAGAGTAAGTTTGTGAGTTTGGGGGCTCAAGTTTCCAATAAAAATAAAATGTTGACCAAACAAAACTGTGATCCTCTCTGTATGGAGGATTCTCCTTGAAGTTCCTTAGGACTTGTGTCCAAGTTTATGTAGCTAAAGATAGTTAATAACCTGTCATTTTTGTAGTGAGTGTTTAAGAGCAAGTATTTTCTGACTGAAATCTTGCCTTGTGCTTACGAAGTTGTGAAATAGATACCAGCTTTTTCTCACAGGATTTTAGGAGATAAGCAAAATACATGTCTAGTGGTAACAGATGTTTCCATTTGTAGAATATAAACACATTAGGGGACATCTGTTTTCTCTAAATGGAGAAGTCAGGAAGTGCTTTCTACAAATGCCATACTCGGTTTTTTACCACTCTCATGTGTCCCTGTCACACATGGTCTTTAGAGGAACCTTTGTGTATTTCATCTTTTACACTGAAAACATCCGAGCAACACACCAGCCAAGGTTCCACTGCAGGGATCAGAGAGAGCTTTTCATTTCTTTACACTTACAGAGCAGCACCAATGACTGAGGCAGGTGTAGAACCAGCTGTAGAAGTCCTGTCTGACTTACCTGCCTGAGGTGTTTGTTGTATTCTGATTGCTGCAGTCAGCTCAGCTCTTGTCCAAACCAGAAGCTGAGTGGAGAGCATGAAGGGACAGTCTGACGGCACAGCATGGCCAACTTGGTGCCCTGGCCTCCTGGTTAAAGGGCCTTTCCTTGGAACAGCTGAAGTGTTTTATTGTCAGGTTAGCTCTGGACTTCACTGTGAAGTTTTAAAGTTGAAAATTTTGTTTGTTGTTAGGTAAATATCGACTTTTTATCTATCAGGATGGAAAGAAAGCAGGGCTAAAAAATCACGTTCTTTTAAAGCATTTTATAAACTTGACTCGGAAACATCTCAGATCTGTGAAGTGCAAGGTTAGTTAACTCAGCCAAAAACTAAGGTGATGAGCAACCTGGTCTAGCTGGAGATGTCCCTGCCCATGCAGAGGGGTTGGAACTGGATGATCTTTAAGGTCTCTTCCAACCCAAACCATTCTCTGGTTCTACAATTCTATGAAATATCATTATTTGAAGCAACTCCTGCTTCCAAGACTGCCCCCCTGCTAAGCCAAATAATTGCTGCTGACACTTACTTTCAGTGTAATCTGATGCTTCTCCCCTCCCTTACAACAGCAGTGAACGGCATTGTCTATGCCATGGAGAGCCTGGGGAGCAGGGTCCACCTGCTGACGCTGCTGGTGAACAGCGAGGGGCTGTACAAGATGAGCCGCCTGTACGTCACCCCCGACGGCTTCTTCTTCCGAGTTCACATTCTCGTTGTGGACACTTTGAACTGCAGGAAACCGTGTCCAGACTTCAAACTTGGTGAGTCATTCCACCTAAACCCATTCCAGTGTTCCTCTTGTAGGTAAGTGGTTTTCATCAGCCCTAGATTAATAGGCTTCTCTGGGGTCGTTGAGGTATTTTGAAAGAAGAATTAAAACAAAATATTTAGTGTTAAACTGGAGGGTTTTTCCCCTCCCGGTTTCTCTATGTCTTCAGAAGAGCACCAGCTGTGTCAAGTCAGGTAGCAGCACTGACCTTTCTTAACCTCATCCACTTCCAAAATGACTGCAAGTTTTCAGGATTGCAAAAAACAATTAAGAAGGAGCTTAAGCTAGTGTCTTTGTAGTCTGGTTTTCCTCCTAAATGCAAGTTTATCAAATACCAGTATTTCCCCCCAAAAGCTTCCAACTGCAACACAACACAGTCTTTGTCTGCCCAGCCCACAAGTCCCACTGACGTCCGGCTGCTGCTGCACCGAACCACAAGTTGAGGATCTATTTCTGCAGGGCACAACTTGACATCTGTTCCTAGCTCTGCTGAATGAATCCAGGCTTTTTCCATGGCACAAACACGGTCGTGTTTGTCTTGCAGGCAACAGATACATCGTGATGGGTCAGATCTACCACAAGAGACGACAGATCCCTGCGGAGCTGCTGCCGCTCCTGCGCGGGCGCCTCAGGCCAGGGGATGGTTTGCTTGGGAGCAGCAGCAGCTACGTGAGGAGATTCAACAGAAGGAGGAACCACAAGGTGCAGGGGGCTCACAACACATGCAGATAAGGCTCCAGTAACCTCCACCTACCAGAACAAACCTAGACCCCTGGTTTAGTAACGGTGGGAGGTAGTTCTTGCCTCTGGAACTGGCTGTGATAGGACTCTTGCTTTTGGGCTTTAGCAAACACTGAGTGTTCTGACCAGGTGCCCATATATTGTGACATTTAGCACAAAAGTCAGTCTAAGGAATCAATTTGCTCCAAGTGTTTTCAGAGCCACAGGTTGTTATCATAGAACCATAAAATGTCATGCTGGAAGGGACCTCAAGGATTATCTGGTCCAACCCTTCTAGGTACTACTGTAGTTTATATGAGGTGTGTCAGCCCCCTGTCAAGCTGAGACTTAAAACTGTCCAATGTGGGGGAATCTACTACTTCCCTTGGGCAACTATTCCAATGTTTGATACCACAGCTTTATCTGTAGCAGATTTCCATTGTTTTCACACAATTCTGCGTCAATTTTCATGTATTTGATTCAGAAGAAACCAACAAACCAATTATCATTTGTATTATTTTGGCATCCTCAAACATGTTCACACTACTTTGAAAAGCTGCATCCTTCTGCCAACAGAGCTGGGTTTTCACACGAAGCCCAGCCCAGCTGTGTCAGCATTTGAGCACATGAATACACCAACTGAGAGCGAATCACACAACTGCACAACACAAATGCCCAATTAGGCTCACAAATAACAGAGCCCCTGCCAAGGAATGCACAACAAGCAGGCAGTTGCATTCACATTTTGTATGCCTGGGTACACTGTCAGCTCCTTAAAAGTCCAGTCCTGGAATTGTGTACCAAATGGCATTTTCCCATGAGGAATATTACCAAGTTTGTACTTGTGCATCAGTAAAGTTATTTTTTCAGACAAAGATACAATCTTTTAGTACCTTTGATGTGGTGGGATGTAAGAACCTATGAAACCTCTGCAAAGGGGGTGATGACGTTGGCTATTCCAAGAGAAGTCCCAAATAATAAGTCTTTAAAAAAAATAATGAAATATTCATGGGGTTCTGGGTTCAGCTTCCTGGGTTCTGAAAGATTCAAAAACACTATTATAATTTAACCAATGGCATCTCCTTGTTTGTCGAGTTGCCTGGGGTTTTAAGATACATATTTATATTAAAGAAATGGGAAAATGCAGTCTAGATTAAAAATAATACATATATACATGTGATGTGACCCAGAACAGGAAGCAGTGGCTTCTGTGAACATTTACTGTTTTGAAGCAAAGGTGGTTCTGACACAGTTCCACCTCTCATATGCAGCTTTACCTCAATTTGGTGTCACTGAACAGCAGGTCACCCTGTATGGAATATTTCTGGATATGGAATAGGAGCCAAATATCAAGAGCAAACATCCTTTGAGACCCAGAAGAATGTTACTATAAGGCAGAAATTAACTTGTAGTTTGTGTCTATCTACAAAATACTGACACACACGCCTGCACCACTCTCTGAGACAGCTACTGCTCCAGGCATGAGGAGCAAATCCCTGGGTTCCATTTTTGTGTTCCAGAGTCCTCTTACCTTTCCTTTCTTGCTGGGAAAGTTGCTCCTTAAAACATGATCACAACAGCTGAGCAGCAGCCACTGCACTTCACAGCCCAACTGAATCCAGCTGGAGCAGGAGCCCAGCAGCTGTTCTTGCCAGGCTGATCACACGCTAACCTGCTGAAGACAAAAACATTCCCAGATCAAGTGCATTTCCACAATCTTGCCCTCACTGTTACCAAACCTCACACTGAAGAGATGGGACACACCCCAAGAGCTGCCATGGCAATGTTCATCCCTTCCAATTAGTGATTTCTTCCCCAGCAGGCTAAGTGTGTAAACTCTGCAGCCAATACACAGAAATCCAGGTGCACAAGAATCTTGTTTTCTTGTCTCTCCAGGGGTTTACTCAAGGCTGTTGGGTAAGCCCAGCTCCTGACTCCACATCTCCATTAGCTGTTGCATGAACTGAACCTAGACCAAGGGTAACTGCTTCAAATTTGAGGAGACAAAAAAGCAAAGCAAGCTGGTACAGCTCAGATACCCAAATCTGTACACGAGCACTTAGAAACAAATGTTGCAGTAATTAACAAAAAGAGAGGAGGACAACTGAACAGAGATGACAAGTCTGATGCATTTACCACACTTCTGGTAAATGGAGAAAAGCACCTCAACCTACTCAACCACAATTGCAGACACTAAAAGTAGGCTCTCAGCAGGATTAAATGGTACATATCAATTACCTCCCTTACCAACCTGATTCACTGGCACCTGTACTTAACCTGGCAAAGCCAAGACCTATACACCACAACATCATCAAATGTTTCATTAGAAACACCACCAAACCAATGTCAAACACATTAATTTATTTGTCTAGGATGATGTGTCCTGTAAGGTACAAAATAGTACTCTTCCAGTTTGCCACAATTTTGTTAAAAACATAGCAATCTATTGCCTACAGGTAGGAAAGTTTTAAATGTCATATTTATATAGGAATAAATAGTACAGAAATACTAAAGGTTTGCTGAGATGCAGGGTATGTTCAAATGCTGTTAGAAGTTGAGAGTTCTCCTTTTTGCATAAAAACCACAATGCAAACAATATGCAGCATTCTTTTTTAAAAACATCAAAGGACAATATAACCTGTAAATGCAACTATTCTTCTTTAACTTTAAGAAGCATAAATGGATTATTTTCACATTGAACAATTGTTTTTAATTTTCACATTTAGGTTAATTGACAACATTTGTATGTACAAAAAAACCACGGGGTTTATTAGATTAAAATTATCCCAGGAGAACCTGTACACCTGAGCCTAGAAGTGTAAGAAAGTGTGGTCAGTAGCAACATCTTTTTAAGAAAAATAACAGAAGAGGTTCTTGCATAGCAAGGTGTGAGGTTAAACCCAAAAGGAGCTTATTCATAAATGGGGTAAATCCCAAATCACTGCAGAACAGAAGTGTACTGTGAGTTAGTGCAAAAGCATCCAGTGGCTGGAGAGCTGTGTACAGACCGTGGCTGATGAACTGTGGGCAGGGAATGAACATTCAGGGTGGAGGTGATGGAGTGGGAAGGAGCAGCAACCTCATCTGCAATTTGCATCTTCTTGTGCTGCCAGAGGGTGCCTCCTGACTCCTCACACAGGAAACAAGGGAGCAGTCCAGCACGCCTTCCCACCTCTTATTACACTTGGTACTTCACATGCCTAGAGCACTTGGTAAAATATGTCAGTCGGCGGTGGGCAGTGACATTTCACACAATACTTCCTACCACCTTATCTGTAACAGCAATTTTGGCACCACTGTAGGAATTTTATAAAGGGGTAACAGCTGCTGAAAAAGGAAATGCGGTGAACACAACCTCTGGAGCAAAATCAAGTTCCATCTCCCTGGCCACTTCCCTCCTCTCTTCCTTGAAATACCTGAACAGATCCCCAGAGTGTTACAAACATATCAGTGCACACTCAGACACCTACATCTGTGGGGAGAACAATTATCTCCATTTATTTTGTTTCATATACATCCATATTTTGAATTTTAATACAAAAGAAAAAAAAATTAGAATCTGACAAATGTTTACAAACAAGATACCTTCAAATAGATTTTACTCATTTCAGTCTGGTGCAGAGTAAATGACAAATTGTACTGTTATATTCAAGGCAACAGAGTCTGTAGTCCATGACCACTTAGCCCAACTTTTTATGCAAGCTTAATTGTTCTTCTCTACCATGAATGATAAACTCCTTGTTGATTCCCAGTCCTGTTTGTGCACATGTGTACATAGCAGCTCCTTTCATAGAAAGAAAAGACATCTAGAGGTCTTCTTGTACTTTTACCTACAGGAATCATGTTAAGATACAGAATGGATTACATGTAACCGGGGCTGGATTTTATAAGAAAAAATAATTAGCTGACAAATGAGGGCAGCAATAAAAAAGCGTCTTTTTTGCAACAATAAATAAATACAGTCAAAGTTTTCTGTGTGGACTTTAAACCAGCTTCTTCACTGAAGAACAGACGTGGCATTTCCATGGAGTTAAACGTGACCCCATTTACTGTATCTTTTTTCTTGCTCTCTTTCTCTCTCTCCTTCAACAAAACAAAGATTTCCTGCTTCTGCCACAATAGTACAACAATTTGATCTTGACAAGAAAGTGGTGCTGCTGATTTTTATTTCTTTGTCCTTTGGACAAAATAAGCCAAGAATAGAATCTGACTGTTGTGACCAATAAAAACGCAGTTTACGTCAAGTCTTGTCAGGATAACCTGACTAAAAAACATCTGGCTTCTTAATTAAAAATTTTCAGACAACGAGATCCTTGCTCGTGTGTTAGGTTAACACGCTGAACTCTAAGAAGCTGTAGACTGCAGTTTGTTGTTATGGGACCTGCAGAGTACAGAAGAAAGTGAAGAATTAAGCACCCTTCATGTTGGAGAACACAGATGCTGCAAGGTGTTGCCAAGAGGAAATCATAAGCAGGGAATTACCACCATGTTCCTTTCATTTTATTTTTTTCCCCCTCAGAAAAAAAAGAACACTTCAAGCAATTCTCTCTGAATTTTAAGCACGTTCTCTCCTCCAGGATATAAATGTTTCAGTGCTTGTAAAATGCAGGGTGTCACTGGAACATTCCAAAATGCCTGAAATCAGTTTTACTCTCATATTTACATCATAGTTGTTCATCAAAAGGAAAGCAGTAGGACATTTGAAATTTTGAGTATTTATAGTAGGTATCCTTTGCTTAAATTTATTCCAGAACTCTTTGGATTAACTTAATAGAAAATACCCAAAACTGAACAGGCATATTAAAAATCACATTTTTGCTAATCAGAGTTAAGCAAAACTCCTTTTTGACATTCACAGTTTTATTAGTGGCTGAAAATAAAGCAATAAAATACATAGTTTTCCAAGATGAATTTTTCATTTTTCCCAATACAGTATTTTAGGAATGGGACAATTTTTTGGTTAATACACTTTTTTTTTTGTTAATTTTTTTCTTCTGCCTACCAGCATATGT